GTCATTTTTGCAGAGGTATTTTTTCAACTATCCTCACTGCTATCAACATTACTATTGATCCATTTTCGTGGAGCATGAAGCAGTAAAGAAGTGCAATCTGGACAGAGGTCATTGGTGACAATGACGCCAGCAAGTACAGGTGGGAAGACGGCGCCTTCGAGTTGAAGTCCTGAAGTTGTTTTAGGAGCTTCAACACTTTGAAATACGACGTTTTTTTTACAGATTTTGTGCACTCAAGGGCACAGCAGCAAAAAGATTACCATTTTTATAATTTCCTAATTATAAGACCATTATTAGCTAATTTGATGTCATGGCAGTAAATCCATAAATATTTACACTACTGACGAAATTTTTCGTTTATGGTCTTCTGAGACCCCAATTATTAGTAAAATAAGTACTAAGAATTTGCCTGGCAAAAATGAAAGTTCTAGAGCTGAAAGGGTTAAACGTGGGAGTGTCAGTCAGCGCCACTAGTAGCCATGGCGGCGAGTGTGGCACACTTTTTATGAGCCTGTTTACCATACGTTGCACGTGAATATACTACGAGCTGACAGCTGACGAATAGTCCCTCGTATGTAACTCAAAGGCACCAAGCTTGCCAGTACGATACCCTCGTTATTTAGGAGAAAGAAGTGTGTACTTATAAGGGCTCTTTCTTCCAAGTTTTGAAATTTTTCGTGTTATTCTTAGCGCAGAAGAGGTAAAATAACACTAAACAAAATCAGGAAAAGCTAGTCGAGTTCCTGCTCACGGCAAGTTATCTTTCCACCCACTTTTCTTTCTTCAAAGATATATATATATATATATATATATATATATATATATATATATATATATATATATATATATATATATATATATATATATATATATATATATATATATATATATATATATATATATATATTGCCACATTCCTTTTGTAAACTTTTGTTATCACCCCAAACCACTACGTAGTTCTCAGCGCAAACCACGCCTCCAGTCTTCGAGGAGCTCCAGGACTGTAGCAGACCATTTTTATAAGATCACGCCTACTCCGCGAACTATACAGATTATTCTGAAGCCTCCCTATCGGAAAAAAACGAATGGTGGGCATGGTGTAAACCACCACCCACCATTATAGTGGATTAGTGTAGTGGGTGAATGGTGGGAAACGCCCACCATGGCGCATGGTGGGTATGGTGGGTGCTGCAGTGCCAGCAACACTTGAGCGCGAAATGACGTCATAATCACCGTGACGAGCTGCCACAAAAAATAAAAAAGAATTCTATAAAAACAGTATAAAAAACACCCGTCCCGTAAAAATAAAAATTAAGGCGCCACCGAGGATCGAACGTGCAACCTACGGATTCCCATTCGAAGACGCTAACCACTGCGCCACACCAACATGACGTTGACTGAGTGTTAAATACTTGGTTGGCATACAAACTTACGGTTCAACTTAAGATATATTTGTGGTGTACACAACATAGACAAGATCTACACCTGCTACTAAAAATTGCACATTAATTAAACACAAGCAACTGCGGCCTGTAACGATTGCCACTATGTTAACGGCACTAGTGCTATTTTTTTTTACAATTCACAACTTCAACAAAAAAACCAAGTGGACTGGGGAGCAGCAACAGTTTACCGGCGGGGTCTGCCAAGTTTAATATCCGTTTCGCGCTTGTTCTAAAGGGTGACATCTGCTCACGCTTTATGACGCCTCTAGGCTCATTCCATAGATACGTCCGCCTAATTTATTTGATTGAGTATTGGGATGCTTTTCGCGCAATGTAGAGGGCGGTCGCGCCAGCGCAATGCTGTAGCTTTTTCGCTAAAGCAACTTCATAACGGCTTGGCCAAAACGAATGCAGTGTGCCGGAAACATTACGCTATCATGTTGGTTCACCAAGCATACGAATTGCCACGTCTGAGTTCTCGTACAAAAGCTAGAGAAGTGCCGGCGAGTGCGACCGGCGGCTGTCGGTGAGAAGACACTTAATTAGGTTCTCTGGGAGTGCTTTATTCACGTCGCATCGATGTTTGCTGCTTCTTGAGCGGACACTATACACAATAAAAAATGCTTCATTTAGATTAATTGATGCCATGGCTGCGCTGTATTGTCATACTTAATCGTCGAAATTGTGTATTCTGAAACCCGGAAGCACGGATAACACAATTGTACGGGCTCGGTCGGTAGGCCTAACTTTGATGGAAATCATGGTGGTAGAACATGTTGTGTACAGATCCCAGCTTGGTACACTACATAAATTGCCCGCCATTATAAGCCCACCCATCATCTGCTTACTGCTTCCCAGCATTATCGCGATGGTGGGCAGAGCTTCTCAGCTTGGTACATCATGTGGCCCACCATAACAAGCAGCACCCATCATCTGCTTAGTGCTTCCCAGCATTATCGCAATGGTGGCAAGAGTTTCTCAACTTGGTACACCATGTAGCCCACCATAATAAGCACCACCCACCATATGCTTAGGGCAACCCAGCATTATCGCAATGGTGGGCAGAGTGTCCCATTATTGCCCACTATCTAGCCTCTGCTTTCCACCATCATTTCCACTTTACCCATCATCTGTACACCATACCACCCAGTATGTCCCGGCATAACCACCATATTTTCCACTACGTCCCACCATAGCCATCATAATTTCCACCATGCCCACTATTATTTCCACCATGCCCACTATTATTTCCACTACGCCCACCATGTTTTCCAGCTATAACGCTAGAACATTCGAAGGCAAGTGTATAAATGCCGACACGCTTCGCCACTTGTCAGTTGGTCGATGGCTGATGATCCGTTCGCCGCTATCAGTGCAGGTCTGCTACTGTGATCTGACTTTTTGTTAACCGGGCACAAGTTCACCCAAATAAATAGTTTAACCATCATCGTACTGTCTGCTTCTTTGCCGACGTCACGACCCTGTGACATCTGGTGGAAGTGCTGCTTCTTTGATGTTCCGGGCGCCCCCTTCAAGCCTTGACCCCAGCCCAACCAGCAAATAAGACAAGGACGCCAACCCTGCCCGCCACGGTGGTCTAGTGGCTAAGGTACTCAGCTGCTGACCCGAAGGTCGTGGGATCAAATCCCGGCTGTGGTGGCTGCATTTCCGATGGAGGCGGAAATGTTGTAGGCCCGTGTACTCAGATTTAGGTGCACGTTAAAGAACCCCAGGTGGTCGAAATTTACGGAGCCCTCCACTACGGCGTCTCTCATAATGATACAGTGGTTTTGGGACGTTAAACCCCACAAATCAATCAAGGAGGCCAACCCTGAATAGCGAACAAGCCGCAGGCAGAGGGGACTGTAACCAGAGTACGGGCCCCTTCCTTAGGCAGCCAGGAAGCCCCGGATCCCAACATCAACTGCAGCAACCATGACCGCCCCCATGCAGCCTGCCCCAGTCGTTTTGCGTCAGTCCAAGGAACCTCCAACGTTCCATAGATCACCAGGCGAGGACCCGGAAAGCGGGATCGAAATGTACCACCGAGTTACCGCTTTGAACATTTGGGAACCCGAATAAAAACTACGCCACGTCTATTTCTACCTAGAAGACGCTGCGAAGACGAGGTTTGAAAACCACGAATACACGCTACGGACCTGGGAACTTTTTCAGACGACGTTCCCGAACGCACGTCCACAAGTGTCATCCGCAAGGAAAGGGCCGCCACATTGCTGGAGACAAGGGTGCAACTCCCTAATGAAAGCGTTACCCTCTTCGTCGAAGAGATGAGCCGGCTCTTTCGACACGCCGACTCCACCATGGCTGAGGAAAAGAAGCTCCGGTTTCTCATGCGTGGACGGTCAAACAAGAGCTGTTTGCGGGAATTGTCCGGAACCCGCCCAAGACTGTTAGCAAATTTCTTACCGATGCCACAACTATAGAAAAGGCGCTTGAGATACGCACAACGCAATACAACCACCATGCCTCATTAAATTGCGCCGATGCCTTTGGTACTGACCACCTGCGCGAGACAATTTGAGCGAGCGTACGGGAAGAGCTGTGGAAGCTGTTATTTTCAACGCAGCCTCACGCGAATTTGATGGCCGTCATTGTCCTTGAAGAAGTTCGACAGTCGCTTGCAATCGCCTGAAGCGAAAGCAATGAGCAACGCCACTGCAGTGCGCCGCAACGCTCACGCACGCCCTCGTCAGGACACTGCCCCGCCACAGTTTTTACGCCAGGCACCGCTGCCACTACCGCCTATGCCATACGTAGCCCGCCAGCCGGCCAGCGCTACGCTTTCAGGAAGACTGACATCTGGCGCACCCCTCGCCACCGCCCACTGTGCTACCACTGCGGTGAAGCCGGGCACACATACCGCCACTGCCAGTACCGACTGCCGGGACTGCGTGGCTTCGCCGTCAATGCAACACGTGCGCAGCCAGGAAAGTGACCACAGGGTACCGCCGACTACCTAGCAGAAACGCAATGGGCACCACGAGGTCCTTTCCGTTCACCGTCACCCTACCGCAGCATGTCACCGCATTACTGGCAGTATTCTGGCCCATTGCGGGGCCGCTCTCCTAGCCCGTACCCTGGAAACTAAGGGCAACAACCGATGGAGGGGTGGTTGCTGTGGGACGAACCACCGAAGATCCTCCGATGACGAAGACGCCCCGACGGAGCTTTCCTGACACAACGCCAACCAAGCAAAGTTCTGAAGACGAAACCTTCACTTACCGAAGGTGACAAGACGACGCAACATGGATGCATCAGAACAAGCCGACGCAGCCGTGACCCGACGCCGCGGCCTAACTGCAATGCGAGATGGCAAACTAGTGACCTTGATGTTCTTATCCATGGTCACAGTGTGACCGCTGATTGATGATTGATTGATTTGTGGGGTTTAACGTCCAAAAACCACCCTAGGAATATGAGAGACGATTATGATTACGACTGCTTGAAGACCGAGATGACGACTACTTCTTGGATATCATAACTGTCGACGACCTCGCTAAACGACAGCGAGACGACCCGAAACTTAGGACCCTAATGGAATACCTCGAAGGCAGGACCACCGAGGATTCGAAGGCATCGAAGCGCGCGCTTGCGTCGTTCTTCCTGCGGAACGGTTTTCTCCAAAGAAAAAGCTTCTCACCGCTTCGAGCCAAGTACCTCCTTGTGGTGCCTTCAACTCTGCGACAAGAACTCCTGCAGGCCCTGCACGACGATCCGACGGCAGGGCACCTCTGTGTTTACCGCACGCCCGTGAAGATACAAAAAAGGTACTACTGGCCACGCCTTACCGCAGAAGTCACTCGTTATGTGAGGACATGCCGGGATTTCCAGCGACGCAAGGCACTGCCGAAAAGGCTAGCGGGATTTCTGCAGCCCATTGAACCACCTTGCCGATCGGTTCAGGAGATTGGTATGAACCTATTTGAGCCGTTCCCGACGTCTACTTTCAAAAATAAGTGGTTCGTGGTAGCGACCGACTACCTCATCCGCTACACTGAGACAATTTGAGCAGTGCATCCGATGTACTTAAGTTTTTTGTTGAAAACATCGTTTTACGTCACGGCACCCCGGAGGTCTTCATCACCGACAGAGGAACGGCATTTACTACCGACCTAACTCAAGGGATCTTGGCATACAGCCAGACAAGCCACCACCGGTTGACAGCGTACCACCCAAAGACCAACGCCCTCTCCGAGCGGCTAAACAAGACCATCGCCGACATGCTGCCAATGTACGTCAATGTCGAATACAAGACGTGGGACGTCATTCTTCCATACGTGACCTTCACATACAACACGGCGGTGCAGGAGACGACGCAGATATCTCCACACAAATTGGTTTACGGAAGGAGCCCTGCAACGACGCTCGACGCCATGTTACCCAACGTGCACCGACGAAGAAAACCTCGATGTGAGTGAGTACCTTCAGCGCGCTGAAGACGCCCGAGAACTCGCGCGCTTCCGTATCAGGAACCAACAGACGACTGACAGCCGCCGTTACTATCTTCGACGAAGCTTCGTGGAATACCAGCCCGGTGAAAGTGTTTGGGTGTGGACGCCGATACGCCGGCGGGGACTCAGTGAAAAGTTTATGCGACGGCACTTCGAACCGTACAGGGTGGTTCGACGTCTGGGCCCACTCGATTACGAGGTTGTCCCCGACAGCGTCACGAACTCTCAATGACGCCGATCGCGACTTGGAGTCGTCCATCCCACGCGCCTCAAGCGTTTTCACGCGCGTTAACGAACTGAAACAGTGTAATTTGTTGTTGTATTCAGTGGCGTAACTAGGGGGGGGCAAGGGGGTACAAGTGCCCCGGGCGCCACTAGGGAGGGGGCGCCAAGCCGAGTCCTCGGGTTGGCGCCCCCTGGAAAGGTTGTCAATGTTTTTTTCCGTAAAACCGCCTGGAAGGGGGGAGGGGCGAGGTTGTAATGTACGACTGGAAGTGGGGATGGTGGTGAAGGAAAGGGTTGCCGCAATGGCTTTTGCATCGGGAAAAGGATCCTCTATTTTCATTTTGCTGCGCTACCTCCGTGCCTTCCCATGACCCTCGGCTAAGCTTTGTTTTGTGCTCCGCAGCACTGGGTTAGATGAGTTTCAGCGAACCCCACCAGCCTCCCAAACCACTTACTGAAAGCTTCCCTGAAACCAACCACGTACGTAAACAAAATAAAATAAAAAAGTTCGAATGCACCTTTTTTGAGTAAGAACAGAAAACTCCAACGAAATAGCCGATCGTCCAACGACTAATCGTCCACGCAGCGGCGGAAGGAAGGGCGAATATAATCCGTGACCTCGGCACCAAAGGCTAAACAAAGGCGTTTATTCGCAGAGTTCTCTGGAAGAAAGACGGAGAAAGCGTGACACGACGGCGACGTTTGTTGATTCCCTGCATCGCGGGCGCCAGCAAAGCAATAGAAGGGCGGGGGTCAACGTTTCCCACATGCCATCCACCGCCATGGGCAGGTTCATCCTTTGGCCCAAAGAACACGCACCTGCGAAAAAAGCGCAGAGCGTAGTGTACCCGACAGCATGTGCCGACTGCCCCGCTTCGTACGTTGGAGAAACCAAGAACTTCCCTGAAAGAATGCGGCCGCACAAGGATGACCTCCATCAATGGAACAGCGAACGGAGCGAAACGGCAGAACACTCCGACCAGTTTAACCCCCATACCAGACCCGAGGGCGCGGTGTCTAGCTGGTTGCTTTGTTTTGTACTCACCCTGCATTCCTTGGGATGCACAAATAGCGCGAAAGCTTAGGTACGAGAAACTTGGGCCTGGGAAGCGCCCGTGCCGTCAAGATTTTTGCAGTGTGGACTGGAAGAGAACAATGACGGGTAAGGGACTTCCGGAAGTTTGAATAAAAAAAGAAAAATACTATACAAAAACGCGGGCGTAGCTCATCGAAATCAGAACTGGTGGCCCTTGGCCTCCGAAATGGCCCGCCGCGCGCCAGTAGGCAATCGCGGAAGCCTACATTAGCGCTAATAATAATAATAATATAATAATAATAATAATATTATTTAATATTATTATTATTATTATTAATATTATTAATATTATTATTATTATTATAATTAATATTATTATTATTATTATATAATAATAATAATAATAATAATAATAATAATAATAACAAACATTATCACGGGCATAATGAGGGGCGCGGAAATATATTTGCCCTGGGCGCCGTCCTATCTAGTTACGCCACTGGTTGTATTAGCGCTGTATTGTAACTTGTTGCTTGTACTTTCTTGCATTATTGTTGTACTTTCATCTTCCTTTAAAGCATCGGGATGATGTCTTTTTCGGAGAGGGGCAATGCCACGTTATTTTTCAAAAGTTTTGTTATCACCCAAAAACACTACGTAATTCTCAGCGCAAACCGCGCCTGCAGTCTTCGAGAAGCTTCAGGACTGTAGCAGGCCATTTATATAAGATCACGCCCACTCCGTGAACTATACAGATTATTCTGGAGGCTACGTCACCGCTAGCTATAACACTAGAACATTCGAAGGCAACTGTATAAATGCCGACACACTTCGCCGCTTGTCAGTTGATCGATGGCTGACGATCCGTTCGCCGCTATCAGTGCAGGTCGGCTACTGTGATCCGACTTTTTGTTAACTGGGCACAAGTTCCCCCAAATAAATAGTTTAACCTTTATGGTACTGTCTGCTTCTTTGTGGACGTCAAGACCTTGTGACAATATAGTCAGGTTTTTCAGACAACGTCACCCAAGCGAATGGCACTGCATGTGACAGGAATGGCAGGGAGCACGATGTTCAGCTCTAAGAGCTATAGCACTTGTGCGATCCACGATTGTGAACTATGGGGTGCAACAGCAACTCAAAAGGTTGATCACGATAATAATAGCGAGAACGTTGCTTGACTAGAGTAAGCAAATAATTGAGCACGACGGTGTAGGTCAACAATAATTGTTATTCTTTGCGCAGACATGGTACAATAACAGCAAAATCAGGAAAAGCTAGTCAAGTTATTTGAATCGGTGGCGCACACGCAGGCTGTAAGATTGTTAAAGAACCAAATAGCTTGCATAAAAATGCTTTATTAAATGTAGGACTGCTCTATATAACAGAAAGAATAAATACGACACGGGACAAATTATAAATTAGAATAATAAACTGTAATAGAATATAAACAATGAAGCTTCAAATTTACTTTAAAATGAAATTTGAAAAAGAAAAATAAGAGCGAAGTTTCATTTCAAAAGTTTTATCTCTAAGCCTTTGACGAACTCCTCTAATACAACAGTAATATTCCCTTCACTGTGGTGAAGAGACAAAGCCCCCCCCCCCCAAAAAAAAAAACAAATTGCACATTCAAATCTATAAGAAGGCACAAAACGCCACTTGAAGTATTTTGTTTGTTTGCTTGTAGCCTAGAATCTATGGCACATACCCACTCTGGGGAATTGGCGAAGGAAACGTAGAGTCTTCTTCTTCTTCGCTGTATAATTAGGCCGTTTCATGGGGCAACGCGAGCACTTGAGGGCGCGTGACAGCTTCGAGCGTTAAGAAGAAGATTTGCGGCCGGAATCTTTTGGGCTCCTTGCGCTTCATTCTGCAAAGACCCGTCCGCTAAAGGCGTGGTTCGAGTATTTCAAGGATATTGAAGTCAAAAGCTATGGAGGGTAAGCACTTGTCTTACTTCTACTTATCCTGTATGCAGCTACCAGGCTGATTTGAAATGCCTACGATAAACATTCAGCTAAAGAAGGTTGCGTTGCATTCGCTGCAGTGGAGCAGTGGTTAAGTTCCTCTGATGTTGCCCGCAGGTCGCGGGTTCGATTATGGCTGCGGCGGGCGGCTCTTTATGGAGGCTATATGGTTGAGGCCTGTACGCTGTGTAATTAGAGCGGACTTTAAAGATCACCAAATGGTCAGAAATCTCGCAGTCCTCCACTACGGCGTCTCTAGTAATCACGTCGTGGTTTCGGGAGAGAAAACCTCAGATAATATTACCAGCTGCATTGCGCTGGCGTGCGTATATGTCGTTTCAAAAAAGGAATATCTGCTTTGTATGGCGATGTCGAGATGTGCGTGTGTGTATTTGACGCGGTGGATAGTCTTCGAGGTATCTTTTCAAAGACTAGGAAAATAAAATTAATATTGCCGTACCAAGTGCCACCATTTCCTCTGCTGTAGGCGGATGGGAGAGCTTGCATACAGCTGCATGAAACAAAAAAATATAACTGCTAAAAAGTTTGTTGTTTGAAAAAAATATCAGCTCTTTGGAAGCACTGTGTTTGGCAATTTCACTATCATCGCTTTCATGTAGGAGAAAATGGAGGGAAAGTTTGTATCTCAAAATTCACGCCTGAACTTTTTTGAGTAATATGTGCGCAACTACACGAATTTCAGAGCACCTTTTATATTTTCTACCCATCATCTCTGGATAACTGCTTGGAACGGAGTCCGCCGAACCGCTGAGACGGCAAGACGTACATGTAGGCAATTGTCGACATAGTAAAAATAATGACCTAGCGTCCTCCGGGTGCGGAAACATCAAGAGAACGTCACCACCTACTTTTGCTTTCTCCGCGTTTTCTCGGTTACCAACCGCCTTCTTGTGGCAACAGTGCTGCTTTTATGGCAAATTCCACTCGTACAGCGGGGGCACGTTTTCGTGCTCCACGGCTTGAAATCCCCGTGCCGCTGGTAGATTCGGAGTAAGTTCGTGTTCTCCATTCGTAGGTTCGGAGCAAACCACTCCGCAACGGAACGTTCCGTGTGCTCCGTCTTG